GAGCAATAATCTCATCTCAGATAGAGCTCATTGGCTAGGATACTGCCACTGCGCAAAGTTCGCAGACTCCTTTCCCAGCAAGTGTGGTTAGAATTTACATATTGTCCAGTTTCAGGTATAGATGCCTCTGACCATTCAGTGACCTTGCTACCTGGTGAGAGAAGTCAGTATTGCAGCAACACTCCCAGAGAATAGTTTGACTACTTTTTGGATATTTTCTGGGAAAATATTTGGTTTAACTTTGCATAGACTCAGGCAGAGAATATAGCACTGTGGTCCTCCTGTACAGGGAGATTTTGGCCTGTGCATCTGGAAAGCAGGCTCATCTACTCACCAGGCTTCATCCAGGGCCCCCTAGAATCTTCCTGTCAGAATTCGTATTCTTGCCCTGAGAACAATTCTGTGCTTGTGCTATGACTAAACACTGGTTTGGTCTTATGTGAAGTGTGATTTTCTTAATGTGACCTGCTTTTCTGAATTGGCTTACAGAAGATCGAAAAGATCATGAGGAGGACCGGCAATACGGATACAGCCAAAATAAACTTCTTATGAGTCAAGCGGCCCACGACCTGGGCTGCCGGCTGAAGACAGAAGGTAAGTTCTATAGGTTCACCATCACAGAAGTGCTGAAGAGTGTTCTGTGTTTTGTCTGAGAAACTGAACATTCTCTACATCAGAATTTATTTCATTTTCCCCATAGTTCTAGGTAAATATAAATTTGTATTTTCACATTTTGTTAAAAATGGATGAGAGAGGCCAAAGCATGTAGCCACTTTTCCACGTCTGCAGTAAGGTGGGTGTGGGACTCAGGGTAAAATCTTAGCTATTGATTCCTGGCACAGGCACAGAACCACCTGTTTTTCTCAGCAAGAGGCCAAATAATGTTGACAGGAATCCTCTCTGTACCACAGAAGATCCTGCAGACAAGTAGCATCTAGTCTGTTGGTCGAAATGTCTGAGGCTCCTGAACTGCCATTCAGTTCAGGTTTCTGCTGAGGTTCGGTAGGGAAAGCTCTGTTCTGGGGGCCTGGGGGAAATGCAGTGATAGTACACAGTACCCACTGTGGGAGCTTCCAGAGGTCTCTGCTCCTTACATCATCTGATGGGAGGTGGTCTTTGGAACAAGAGGCAGCATGTGTCCAGTTGTAAAGGACTCAAAGGAAGCTGTGACGGGAGGGGGTTGTTGGAGTGGAAAGAGCTCTGGATTAAGAATGAAGGTCCCCAGGCTGTATGTTCAGCAGTGTTTTTAGTAACTGTCTGTGAGCAATTGATTTCTCCTTCCTGACTTTCTGTCTCTCCATCTGCAAAGTCAGGCAAATTTCTCTCTCTCCATCTGCAAAGGCAGATATCTTGCAGTGCCTGAAGCATTCAAATGTGTGAACACTTATGACCGCTTATCAAAACGAGATAAAGGCCCTCGCTGTGTGGTGTTGGAGACAGCGCTTGATGTGTGGGCATTTGGTGTTAGGACGCAGCTCAGACTGGAGCACTCCCTGTGGAGAGAATGTCCCTGAATAACATAGCAGAAGCCACTTGGAGGGCCTTTGAAGTCACCTGATGTGCAGAGGATTGTGGGCCAAGTTTGTTTGTCCTCTCCTAAGAGAAAGAAATAGGTTTTAAATGTGAACTGTGACAGGAAGGCAAGCGTGTCCCTGGGCATCAGATCTGTCTCAGGATTGGGGAGACAGCTGCCAAAGTCCAGAGAGAGGCTGCACAAGCCTCCAGTGATGTGGGAGCAGAAGGTCTTTTCAACATTTGGCCTCATCTTGAGGGTGAGCCTCCGGATCAGAAACGCATTGCCTGGTGGATCAGGAAACCATGCCATGGCGTTTCGTTAAAGAGAAACCATGAGAGCTTTCAGTAGAACAGGGACCCACACACAGGCGTCCATGTCCCTGTGCACTTTGGGCTGACTGTGCTTGCCTAGTGTGAAACGGGAAATATCTGAACGAACACATCTGTACTTGCAGAAAATAACCAAGATGAGGATGAAGATGCTCATGTCGCAGAGTCTGAGCAATTACAGGAGTCACGTGTCCCCAGGTAACGCTGAATAACCAGGAGCAATTAGTGGTGGTAAAGTATGGAAAAGTTCTAGAATCTCACCCTCTCTGGTGTCTACCATGGGCCAAAAGCCTCCATTCCCTTGGCCACAATACGTTCAGTTCAACCCAACTTAGACACGGGGTGTGGCAGCTGTTGTGGTTCTTTGTATGTGCTGAGTGCCGTGTCTGAATTATGCAGGGATAACCGAGTCTCTGTTCTTCTCAGCTCCTTTCTTCCCAGTGTGATGAATACCAGCTGCTCTCTTTCTCTCCGGTTTCCCATGGCATCCATGCTCTGTGGCAGAGAGGAGGATTGCCTGTTTCCTCTCAAAGGGAACCTCCCATTTGCCTTCTGAGAGCCCTCTCTGATTCCTCCTGTGAAAACCAGCCAGGACTTCCTGGGGTCCAATCTCCCTTTGTTTAATCTTTTGTCATCTCTATACCATCAGGCTCATCAGGGAGGTGCTCAAGAGAGTCCTTGAAGACTCACCGGAGGAATGTGTCAACACTCGTTCAAATAGCTATGGCCCTTCTGACTCCAGCCAGCCTGACGGAGACACCAATGAAATCCCATTTGAGGATGACAACGTCAACTCTGCACTGGTTGTCGAGAGTCCATCGTCTCATGATGTAGTGGAGGATGCTCTAATCATTCTTTCAGGTGACCCCTACATTCCTTGTTTTTGGTACCT